TTTCACCTTGTTGCCAAATGCGGAGTACATGTCCGATTGAGCTCAAATTTATAGCAGAGATAGAACATCGAAAAAGAAAATCGATGTATTTTTGCATAGAATTTTGTGACGTGTTCTTCTAAGGGTTCTCTAGAAAACTCTGGTTTTCATCCATTCAACTATTCTCACAAGCTGATCACAAAAGTACTACAGTAATTGTATATATATATATGATATGAATATTAGTCTGGTTTAGTAATTGCGCCATTTCAATTACATGATTTACACGTTTTAATCGCACAAGAAATAAGCGTAAAGATTGCTATATCTAAAGTTGTGATATTTGAATAATTTTATAAATTATGCGCAAAGAATATTTAACCACTTCAAAAGTAAAACTTGTTTTGAGCACTTTCTTTTCCGAAACGTGCACTTTTGAGCAGCAGTGTTATCGGCAAATGTGTATAGGTCAAATCTAACTGCGCAATCATGCTTTTATTCTACTACTGATTATTGTTAATTCATGTCGTCTTTCATTGTTTCCATCTGATATGTTTTTCATCCTTTAGTTTCAATACTAAAACTGTTTTATTTTCGTTGCTTTAGATCGGATTTTCCTTACTGTTTATGAATAATAAACACACTGGTATAGACCAACTCTCCTGATGAAAAAGTCTTTCTATATCACAAGCAGGTCTTGAAAGATTCTTTTTGTTCAAGATTCTGATCAAGATCTTGATACAGATTTATTACAGAATCATTATCTTGAACATATGAAACAAAACTTGTTTGAATAGTTTCCGTTACAAGAACCTTGACAAAACCTGATCAAGATCTGCTCAGCATTTGAACAAGTGTCTCCAACTTAGCTCTTTATGAATATTTTTAAAATTACAGTTCTATCCGTCGAAGATGAAAGGCGAAATTGCTATATTTCAGTAATTCTGCAATATGAGAATGTATGTTTCTCTTTAAAATCACAAAAAAATTGAAAAAACATCTCGAAAAATATGTTTCAAACTTTCCGTTCTAACTCTAGTTCTTTAGGAGCTTTCGTCTGTGCTATCGTTTAACTTATGATATTCGAGTTTTTACTTATAAAAGTCGAAAACAGAATGTTTGAATTAGCTTTTACTCATAAGTTACAGATTTTAGTAAAACTGTAGTTTTTACTTATCACAATCCTCTGAGCTCAACTGTAGTTATCTAATTCAGTTTAAATAGTATAGTCAGATTAGTGTAGTGAGTTAGGACATAAGCTAGTAAACTGAAGTTACTTGGATACCTAAGACCTGAATTCGATTCTCAGTTCTGGAGAACAGGTTTTTCTCTTTTTTCAAGATTCTTGATTTAAGCAGAATATTGATCATCTTGTTCGAGATCTATCAAGATTTGTACAAGACTTGACATTTCTGTGGGACAACTTGATCATGGAAAGACTCAGACGATTCTTGACGGCGGTTCAGCAATTTGCTTCAAGAAACTTGAGAAAAATTTTCAAGATTTGACCAAGATCTTGATTAAATATTCAAGTTCTGGGTCTTGATATCTTCCACGCTGTTTTTATTTGACACACTTTACTTTATTTATTTTGTTGTGTATAAACAGAAGATAAGGTTTATTTGCTTTATTTCAAAATCTAATTAATTTTGTAAAATGAAAATTAATCTTTTAGAGAAAAATAATCGCTGGAGTATCGTATGAACTTTAAAACATAAACCTTTTTCATATAAATCTACAAAAACCAATTATGATCACATAGATTAAAAACTAAATAATCAAACCAAAAAAGGTATTAATAAATAGATGCATGATCATCAGTTAGAGTTCATTTTTATTATTATCATTATTATTCTTAAAATCTACATCTGGTACTTTATGTTTTGGATAAGTAATATCAACAATCGGTAAATTATTTTTATTACAATAATCTGTATATGTTTTTAATATTGATCTCCAATCTTCTATATGAGTCGTCTTACCCGATTCATCTAAATATTCTAGTGCACCCCATACAAAAAACAATGTTTCTGTCTCACCATAATTTTCATGAATATATAATGTATGAACGGATCCAGGAGTTTCATGTACAATATCACCTGCTTTTGATAACCATTCAGGATGTTCTAAATAACCCCATGCACCTTTTAATGTATAACCATATACTTGATCATAATGACGATGTGTACCCAGTATACTACCAGGTCCACCACGTAATAAATTTATCCAGAGACCAGTGTGTGGATCAACTTGTAATAATTTGACTTTTATATCATATTTTGGATCACCATAGGGAAAATAATATGAATCATTTGAACTTATATGTGTTGGTCCATTAGCTAACAAAAAATCATAATTTGTTCCATAACAAACAGAAATTAATAAATAAATACCAATAATATATATCATTTTCATCTATCTAAACGAAAAATTATACTGTCTCTGAAAATATAACTATCTTGTTCTTTTTACTTATTATACCAAAATTCGAGATGAAATGAAAGTGTTTTGAAAATTTTTTTCATCCTATTCTGAAAGTGATCCGTTATAATAGATTTGTTATTTTCGTATCCATTGCTTATACTGATAGGCGATTATCGCTTACACATTTTGTTTACTTCTCTCATGCATCCCATGTAAATATTTTCGAGTCGGAAACGTGTCTGAAAACGAGCTTTTTTCTGCGTTTAATCGCTGCAAATATGCACCATTTGACGCTATCTAGACGCGTCTGATGTTGACGCATTTGACCGCGTTTTATCTAGACGCGCCTAAATGCGTTTTTTTAAAATTAATTCTTTTGTGCAAAAAGGTTTGTTTTTGTTCAACTAAAATTCCTATACCGAAGTTCAGAGTCTTATAACTAGCTACTAGAAAGATTCTCACATTAAACTATGTAGTAGTACATATGCTTTCATTACTCAGGGACTATAATATTACTAATTGGTCGAAAAAATCTCGAAATTGACTCATTGTGTACAGAGTAGTTAGTGAATTGATTTGTGCGAAATATTTTCTACAATATCCTATGAAATGTTGTAGAAAATAGGTTTTACTAAAACGTTGAAAACCCGTGTAATTTGAACGAGATGGTTCCAATTAGACACACATTTTGCTGTACGGTTCCAATTAAGCTCAGTGCCTAATATGCAACCATCTCGTTTTTTCATACACTAAAGTATTGGAAATATAACTTGGTCAATTTTGGTCCTACAAATCTCGAAATAGTGGCATTCGACGGGGCTCATTCTCCGGATTATGATCATATAAAAACTTCTTAGTTTATCTTACAAAATGTTGTAAAAAATAGGATTTACTAAAACGTTGCAAACCCGTGTAATTTCAACGGGACGGTTCCAATTAGACACACATTTCGCTGTACGGTTCCCGTTTGGCACAGAGCCTAATTGGAACCAAAACGACCCTCTCCTTAGTAAATCTCCCTCCGATCCGTCTCCGATGGGAATTCCATAATAATTTTTAGATCGTTAAATAGCCAAGACTTTCACCTACAAAAGCTCTCAAATTCGGCGAAAATCGCTTCAAAACTCACTCAGATACTGAAGTCACAAGTTAGACAAATCTGGTTGCGGTTCCAATTAGACACTTTACTCTATGTTGCTTAACTGAGTAGTATTGATCAAAAGACGTATATACCCAATACTAACAATAAAACATAGTACTGACTTACTACGATATTGACTTGTTTAATATTTGAGAATAGTTGAGAAATGCTTATATACTACAATACTCTATATATACAAATAACAAGAACATTATTATACTTTTTCCTATTTATGCATTTAATCGTAAATCGTAAAGATAATTTCAATAAATTTATCTACCAAAATAAATTGCAAGTATACGTATACATATATCAAAAGAAACCGATAATATATCGAAATGTCATTAAAATAAATCCATTCTGCCGCGGCAGAGTGGCAGAGAGAACGGCAAGAATCTTGAAATGCTCCCTAATAGAAGAATAACGACCGATCGGCACTTATTTTAATTTACATAAGGTAACATTCTAATGATAGTGTTTTTCCACCTTTTAAAGCATATGTATGCAAATAAAATAAAGACTAATATATATATATCGGTAATTTGCGTTCTTCAAGACTATTCATAAAAAAACATGATGCAATTGCATTTAAAGCGAGAAAAATTTTGTTATATATGAACATCCAAATAGTTTGGCACTAGAATGTATATATTACGTACATTTTTGATTTAGATGTGCAGTTGATTGATAGCTTGATAAATGAATAATACGATTCAGTCCCAATTCGTCGACACTCACTCTCACACCGCCCCTCCCGCCTTTGAAATTCTTTGATGTATATTCTCTGAAGTGTCCGATTTGTCGACGAATCGGGACGATACCAATAATACTTTCAAAGAGAGCGGTCAATTATCCTTGAAGCAATAAAATCAAAAAAACAGGTTCAACTTTGTACGGAAAAAGTAGCACAAAGTAACATGTTTATATAGAGGAAGGAAGGAATGAAGGAATAGAGGAATAGCGACTGGCTGTCCGGAATATATTTTGAAATGCTCCCTTAGTATTCTAATAGAAATTTAGCAAATAATGAGATATTCACATAACATATCCCATGTGCGGTACATTTTTTCATTTCAGCAGGTCAATAGAAAAGGAAGAGAACAGAAAGATATGCATGTGCGAAAAGAGATATCTTATCTACTAATTCTCTAATAGGCATCTAGCAAAATTGGAGATATCTCTTCTCGCACATGCACCACGTATATCAAGATATACGTGTAGATATCTATATATATGACAAATATTCTCTTTTTCTCTTTTGATGTGTGAAGAAAGAGGAAAAGTCAGCGCAGCGTTGTTTTCATTCATCATTTTATTTTTTCAACACTTTTTTAAACTTCTTTTTTCTTTCTTGTTCTCTTACGTCACATATATCGCAGTGTTCACACACGCATACCTTGTGCTAGAAGAGATATCTGCAATTTTGCTAGATGCCTATTATTTTATATTAGAAAAAATGTGCTGTGGTTTTGTACGCTAAGGCTCGTAGGAAAGATGAATACAGAACCATGTGAAACAACTTTATTGTAAGTGATTTATATTTCAACTATAAACACACTTTTCTTAGATTTCGAACAAGACGCAAAAACTCGTCTTACTTCACCTAGATTACGTTCAGTATGTTTTTTTTGTTATTCTTTGGTTTGGTAGATATGATCAAAAGGTCAATGAAATTGGTTAGTAGATATTTACACAGTGGCTCGAAAAATTATTTATCCACCGTTACATTTAATTCTTCTCTTCAATCATAAGAAGAAAAAAGTTTTTTCTTTCTTTTCTTAGCTTGTCCTTACCCGTGTAAGAGAAACATGAATGTGTCATGAAAGTAAATAAATACTTTTTCTATCTGCTGAAGACAAAAATGAAAAGATTTAGTCAGAGAGAAAAAGATTGCTATCTTACACATATTGTCGTTGTTAAAGACATACGAGAAACAGAAACAAAATTGATCCATACAGCAAGAATAAGTGCTGGAAATATATTGTACGTACCTTCTTAGTTTAACTTTTAAATCACTATACTTACGTAAAAAAGGTATATCGCAGATGTTTTGGCGAGTCTTTTATATAATAGTGACTGAAAGACAAATTATTGTTCCTACTCGTCAGTATTCTATTTCTTTTACAGTATGATATCTACTTTTAAGGTCTTCTTGCTGTTAGAAATATGAATATCTATATAAGAACATACTGCCTTCGGCAGATGAGTTTGAAAGAAGTTATCAACCATTTCACAACAGAGCGTCCACGACGGTTTATGAAGCGCATTTGATTAAAGATAAATAAAGATTCGTGATTTTCGATGTTCGATAGAGGATACTGTAGAATACGCATCAATAAAAAAACTGAGTTTAGAGTTTTAGTTTACCATAGTATGTTCCATCACGCAAAATCTAAAAAGATTTTGAGAACCCGAAAAACGAATGTATTTTAAACTCCTATAGGTTTGTTCGAACCATTAGATTTTCATCTAGATTTCGACGCAAGTCCAAAATCTATATGTGCTATGGCTCAGGTGTAGTATCAATACCCGGAAGACCTCACATTTTTCAAACTTTAGGTTCTAAAACGTTAAAAATAATAGGCAATCGACAATGCTTGTTTTCGTAACGAGTGTGCCATAATAAACTGGACTAAATATTACTGCATTTTTTTCGTACTTCCTCTTCAAATAAAAAGTGGCACCATTCAAAATATTGAAGAGTGCTAAGTTGTCGAACTGCGACGTACTTTTGTCGCCTCATTTTTTTAGATTTTTAGCACATTGTCTGAGGTTCAATAGTTAATTTTTCTAGTAGCAAGACAGAAAATTTTGCGCTCTATCGATCTCACTCATTTACAATCTTATACAATGTTTCCACTACGTCAGCTGATCTCATAATTAGTTCTCAACCGGCTTTTCAATTTTTTCAAATTAAATTAACTTTTTTAATTAATGGTTTCAATTGAGAAACTTTGTTTATATATCAAAAGACGCAGAATTTAATTCTATGTAAGATAATAAGACTAAAACCCTGGATTCAGAACGTTTTACTACTTTCATAGTCCAGAAACTAAATTCTGTGAAAAATAGGTTCAAAAGTTAGATTTTTTTAGATTTATCAGCTTTTTTGCATAGAGAAATTTTCCTAGAAGATTTAACTGCAAAATTTCGAAAAATATGCGAGAAAATGCAGAATTTTCCGGTGAATCTTCTGATGTTTTCAAAAATCTTATGGAATCTATTTTTGGATCAAGGCAAACGTTTTTCTATTTTCAGTATGTCGCAGTTCGACAACTTAGCACTCTTCAATATTTTGAATCGTGCTCAAACAAGAAAAATGCTCTCAGAGATTCATATAGTAGATTTTGTAGAGCTTGAAATTCTCTATCTTTTGGTATGTAAAGGAACTTCTAATTTGAAGAGGAAGTACGGAAAAAATGCAGTAACATTTAGTCCAGTTTATTATGGCACTCCCGTTAATAAAGTTCAAAAGCCTCCTGAAAGCCTGTAATAGGTAAACTAACCCATTTTCAACTAGAAAATCAAAAAAGTTATAAGTCAATGAAAATGGTCTATACTATTGCAGCATATCAAGATATATCCCGTTGTATTTGGTCAAACTGATTCTGAACCTAAGATCAGTAAAAAAATATTTTGCTAATTCGAAAAGGTCTTGAAATTCTTGCAAAAAAGTGCTTTCTTGCAAATTCCTATATAATAATCTTAAATACTTTGTATACAAACTGCAAATCTCCCTGGAGGCTACTCTGTTTTGAAATGGATAGTGGTAACGGCAACATTCAGTAAAACGTTCATTCAGATTAACCAGCTGTTTGTTCTACAATATGATAAATTTTTACAATCATTAGGATATAAAAAGAGGGCGATCTCTATCATAACTAGGTCCGAGATACTTTACCGTTTGTTCAACTGCCTTTCTCAATAACGGGAACTGCTTTTCAGTTGCCGATCCTGGATGATGAATTATTGAAGACTTTACTTTCAATGAACACGAACTGAAAAAAGTTCTTGTTCAAAGAACGATGACACGAATTAATACAGGCCGAACTATGTTTCATCTTCAGAGACCAGTCGCATAGAGTTAAAAAGTATGGCTGCTTCGACTGTTGATCGGCAAGATACCGCTTTGTCAACGTCGGTTGACGTGCCGGAAGCTGCAATCAATACACCTTCTGTGAACGATGTGCCCAGCATCGATATGCTCGAACAAACAGCCGAAATTCCTGTTTTCTCTGCAGATGGTGCAAGTCATTCCTTCTCGTCTATCTATGCCGAACGGCCAACGCTTGTGATCTTTCTCCGACATTTCTTTTGCGGAGTATGCCAGGAATACGTTCGTGACGTCTGTGCACAAATTCAGCCTGATGAACTGGCAGCGTGCAACAAAGCAATCGTTTTCATCGGTTGCGGTCAACCAAGTTTAATCAAGCTCTACAATGAGGAAACCTCTTGTTCCTTCCCCGTTTATGCCGAACCGACTAGAGCACTTTACGAAAAACTTGGCATGATTCAAACGCTTGCTCTGGGAAATAAGCCTGAGTATATGAAGTCATCATTGATAGGATTATCTCTTGCATCTATCGTACAAGCCGTCAAGTCTGGAAGTGGAGCATTCAAAGGAGGAAACATTCAACAAATTGGTGGTGAGTTTCTCATCGAGCCAGGCAATAAATGTACATGGGCTCATCGAATGACAACGACGAGAGATCACGCTCCGGTTTCGGGTTTGAAGAAAGCTCTCAAATTTGTTTCGTGCGAGTAACGCAAGGATAACTACGACATTGCACAAAAAAATCATTATATTTTTTTTTAATATCGAGTGGATAGTGCTTTGTAGAATACATATGAAAACACTAAAAAATAAATACTGTGGAGAAAACTGAAATTATGAAAAAATTCAGCTGTATCTATAAGATCGACAATTTTCAAGACTTTCGAAGACATAAAATCTCACAAGAAAATTCACATGCTCGTCGTACTAGGTATCCGTCGAGTGAGACCATATAGTTGCCTTGCTACAATTCAGTGATTAATCTTTCTTCCATGAAGATTTTCGACGATCCATCTCGCGTCTGTTCTTTCTTCATCACCTCAAATATTGTACCGGGTACGAAGACAAATTCTTCCTGATGTTTTGTGTGATCCAACGACAAATGTTTAATGGAACGAGCTGTACGATATTCTTGTAGAATTATATTACATTTCATCTCTCGCCCCTTTATACTCTGTAATTTGGTCGTGGATGTGATGCCTGTATACAGGACAATTTTACCTACTTGATGCTCTCTCAATCGACACTGCTCCATCACATCTTCACGATAAAGAGGACCGTTTTCTTTACTCGTTATGACTGGTAGTTTTGATAGACCAGTGATCAAAGCATGAAGGAACGGTTTGTGCTAAAACAAGGTTTCTAATTGTGATGCTTTGAGGAAGAGACTAACAATCATACCTCGATCTGAATGTTGCCAATTCTCAATATATGATTGATGAGTAAATAAGGTGGACCCGTATAGAACATAATGGCTATTTGTTCGAAAACGGTTAGTGTATTATCACTTCGAGATCGGAGTATTCTCTTCATAATCAGGCCATATTCCATTTTTATTTGAAATCGATACTCATAATCAGTCAAACCCTTTTTTCTCAATTGGTAGAACTCAAAATCTGACATTGAATCATCAACAATCGTCTCGAATGAATAAATGAAGTCTTCAGGTGTTACTTCAGATATGTCATATTTGTTCGCTTCTTCAAGCGTAAACTCTTTAATCTTTTCACGATCCTGTTTAATTTGAGCGATATTTTGCTCGCGAATAGTGAGTGGATCAGCAACAACATCGTGAGTATAAAGACTACATAAAAATAAATTTAATACACTGAATAACATTTTCGACAAACAAAAAAAAATAGAAAAATATCAGGAAAAGTTGCAATGAATCATTTACAATTTATGGCGCTCAATCCGTCGATTAACTACAGTTTTAATAGACGATTTGCCAGAGTTTCAAAAACTACCTTTTTCCCCAACAATCCAATACGATTTTCGTCCTAAAGTTCTCTTAATTTTTACATCCTGGTATCGTTTTATTCATGAACTATAGAAATCATTGAATTGAGAGCCAAAATAGCTATATTTCTAGTATTTTTATCTGTTCTTCAGGGAGAAACAGACATGCAACGGTTTCAGTTAACTGAAGCTGATGAAAACTGATAAAGGAGAAAACTACGAATTTTATACTTGGAGTATTTTACTTTTCCACTTTAAACTTCATTGGGACACACTTTATGTTCTCAGTCTCACTTCCTTTGACGGTTCCTTGGAAAACTGTTCGCTAATTAGTACTTTTTTAAAAAACACCTTATATTATTTGATTTAAATCAATTTATTTAAAAGTATAGCGAATGACAAAGAGCACAAAGAACACAAAGAGCAGAACGTACTGACTTCAGTACTGTTACAGTATCAATTAAGTAGACAATATAAGTATGCTACGCGGAGAAAGAGAGAGAAGCGACAATAAGAAGAGCAAAGAGAGGAAAACAACAACTAAGCTATGAGGAAAAGTACATAAAAATCAAAAATAAGATAAAAAAGTGATGAAGAGCCGTAACGGACATATGCAAAATGCTGAGGTGTGTAATTAAATAAGAAAAAAATAGTCAGGCATGTTTCATAAAGCGTTCAGTATTTATAATATAGGTTATCATCAATTAGTATATTTCTGTAAGAGACACTTATCATCATCAGGAAAAACAGAAAAGTGAAATACAATCTCTCTATATATAGTAAGAGTACTAATTAATAAAGTATAGATAGAGAAGGAACAAGAAAAAGCTAATAATGTGATCACTTATTGATAATACATCAAAAGAAGAAGAAAAAGAACTTCTTAGACGCACTAATAAGCCGAGATAATATAAATAATAAATATAATACCACGTTATACAAAAAACCTGCCAGTACCAATCTATACTTACTATATGAAAGTAATCAATGCAGAGAATATAAATTAGGTTTAATTCGAACGTTAGTCATTCGCATACTTCTAATTTGTTCAACAGATGAATTAAAGAATAATGAACTTAAATTAATGAAAGAAACCTTTCGTTTCTGTGCTGTAATAATTTTCTTTTAAAATGATTTTATATTTAAGGTCAACAAGGTTTCTAGTGGTAATTCAAAATGTCCACGAAACGTTCGGTAGAAACGTTATTTAGATTATCTAGTCTTAAAAACGGCCTTTAGCTAAGAAAGGCGAAGGAGAACATGAATTAAGACTGTTGTATACAGTTGCCATAAGCGTTCATTTCGATAAAAAATCGTTTTATATTCTACTGTATTCGACTTCCTAGTCTTCCCTCATTCAAAAAACGTATATTTCGTAAAATAAGAAAATGTGACAGAACAAATAAAACTAACACGAACAGAGAAGAACGACAAAGACTTGAGCGAATTTTACTAAACTGTACTATAATTTGAACGACATTTAAATGGTACCTGTCTTTTAAGTGAAATCGGCTCACTCGAATGTTATTAATTTTTTTCATACTGGACTGTAGAACGAATATTTCTAAACCACAGGCTCCTTTTCGTTTTTATGAAAAGTCGATATATTAAAAAATTCACCTAGCCTAAGGTAACGCCCTTTTTTTGATCCTCTTTGAGTACGGGGAAACTGATGTCGGATTGGACGAAATTTATATCAGAGACAGAACATCGAAAGAGAAAATCGAGGTATTTTTGTCCAGAATTTTCTGACATGTTCTTCTATGGGTTTTCTGGAAAATTCCAGTTTTCATCGAGTCACATTACAACCGCTCGAAAACATGGTCCGATCCAGGTCAAGATTTTACTACAAACACTTTAGACCCTATCTCAGGTTGATTTTTTTCTTTTTTCGAAAAAAATATGCCTTCCTTCTCGAGATATTCGAAAAATACTTAAAATTCTGTATAAAAGACCGGTTTTTCATTTTAAAAACCTTATTTAAAACGCTTAAAAAAAAGCGAACCTGAGATAGGGACTAAAGGATCTGTAGTAATAGTAGTTATAGTTCAAAATATGTCAAAAATTGACAATACTGTAACCAAACAAGAAACGAAAAACATGATCCAAGTTTTGATTTTGCAGCTAGGTAGAGAAGAGCAGTCATTTCAGATCGAAACAAAACAAACCCGACCGAAAACTCTTTTCTTTTGATGGAGTTATGTGACTTTTACTGGAAGCACCACTATATCCAAAATTTAAAAAATTAATGAAAAAATGCGTGATAACCGACAGAAAATTATTATTTTTCGATGGATTTTGAAGTGAAAAAATGTGAAGTGTAGCTAAAAGATAAAGCGAAGTCGAGGCTACACTATGGCTGACTCAGATTTTCTTACTTTCAAAACGTTAACATAGAAAATCGTTATCGATTTTAGAAAGTTTTCATTTTTTTTTAATTTCGTATAATTTGCGTAGTTTTCTTGATTGAAGTCCTAAAATTAAAGTTTAGGTATAGTTTTGTTGAGAATTTTTTGACGTATGTGTTAGTTTAAAAATATTCCCAAAAAGTTGTGACTGTATCCATTATATTGTCATTTTGGCATCTGATATCTATAATAGCAAACTGCCAAAATGGCTGCCATATGAGAACAACAATCAATTATACGATCACCAATTTCACAGCTGAAACACAAATGTTCTGTTGAACTCTCCTTCATTTGAAATTGAATTGTGAAAAAATGGATTTTTTGCATTTTTATAGAGTGATTGATCTTGAATTTTAATCAAATCAAATGCTTTTTCACACGATTGAACGATATCTACTTTAACGTTAGGATACACTTCGAAACGTTTCATATGTTGTTGAAAATACGATCTAGCTTGTCGAAATTGAAACACATCTACATTGTAAAATTAATTGACTGACTATACAGTTGGAACACCATTTTTACTATAGGCGTATTCACTCATAGTTGTAAAAATAATGTATAGCACTTTTGATGTTTGTTCAAAACACATTATTTGATTGATATTTACAATTAGACTATTTTCTAGATCACAGAATGATTCTCGAATCGATTATACACTTATACATACGCACATAATGAGCTGATGTTTTCTTTTTTCCACTTAAAAACTCAAGTAAGAAAAAGAAAAAAGGAAAAGAAATCGAATACGTCAATAAACGAAATGACATTTTATGTGTTTGTGGAAACTGCAAACCAAAAGAGAAAAAAGAAAAACAGCTCTATGGCTTTCTCTTTTGTCATACATATTTGTTTAAGGTGTATTTGTCTACTAAAATACAGAATAAATACGAAGGATTTTTAAAATACTAAAAAACGACTATATTCACTGATATTAGTTTCTCAGCATTCTTTTTAGAGAGCATACTAAAGTACTCTGATTAACATTAATCATAATCTTATCAATTTGATGTCATTTTTAAATAAATAATAAAAATGGGCAATCAGCAACGTAAAGGACAACATCAGCACAACCATCATAGTCATCGTCATGGGGGTTCAAAATATGAAATCCATAATACTTCTGATCACTCTTATACTCTCAGTCCATATCATTGTCAACAAGTTTCAAGTAATGATCACAATTTTAGTTACAGTACGAAACATACTTTATTGAAGACAACACCACCATTGCCTATTTATAATGGAAGTAAATTCGAGCACTATAATCAAGATCATGCTGTTAAAAAGTATCATGGACTGTTTCCCAAACGACCATCTTCAAAACTTGAATATCCAAAAACCCATTATGTTCTTGACCAATATGGAAAGAATCAAGTTGTACTATCAACTCATCATGGACAACCGATTCAAAAACAACTCAAACGTTTAGAACCTAAACGAAGTCAATCATGCGAAAATCTTTTTCAACTAAATCATAATTATGACAAAAATCAGCGTTATTCACGGACACCAGTTACACAAAAGAAGATGCTAACAAATGTTGAAAATACAATAGTAAAGGAACCACCAAAACAAAAATTATGTTCACAAATGAGTCGCTCTACTGAAGATCTGAGTAGTAGTGCAACAGCGAAAAACACGGCACAAAAGATGCAATATAGAACTGGAGCACCGCTTGTTGCAAAACTTAGCCGATCATTTGAACAGTTACCGGACATTAAAACGTTCGTAAAAACCCATCGACATTATGGAAATCGTTCACCTCAAAAAATGGGTGTACGTTACAAACGAAGTCAGTCATGTTCTAATATTCAAGATTCTAATATTAAAACAACTTGGACTTATAATTTTTCTCAACCTGCAGGAGATTTCACAAATAGATCATATTCGCCATTGTTTTCGTTAGCATTATTAGATCTAAATATTAAACGATTTAAAATTAAACAAGAAATCGGAAAAGGGCAGTTTGGAACAGTGTATCAGGCAAAATTTGATGGAAAAGAGGATGTTGCTCTGAAAACGTTGAATGCAAATTTCCAATCAACAGAGTTGAATGACCCGCTTCTGATGAAAGAACTAACGAATGAAGCCAATATCATGACAAAATTACACCATCCAAATCTGTTAAAAATAATCGGTATTACATTTTTAAACAACAATCTTTGTCTTATTACCGATTATATGCGAAATGGTTCGTTGAAGGATTACTTTCAACGAAACAAATACTTATTTACACAAATGAGTCATACTGAGATTAATAAACGGTTGAATAACTTCGCCATGCAAATTTATCAGGCAATGGCTTATTTAGAACAAAAATCCATTGTTCATCGAGATTTGGCGGCAAGAAATTGTCTAGTAGGAGCTGAAGATCAGTTGAAAGTCGGCGATTTTGGATTAGCCAGGTAAGTACGAGAAAAAAAGTGTGAACAAAGAAGGCATTATCCTAAGCTCCTTTTCTCAAGCACACGACATACCAGCCAAACATCAAGACGCGTCTCCATGCATATGAGTTTCTTAGTCACGTAAAACCCTTGAGGTATGTGCTTGATTTTCTTGTCCTATGCGCTTGTGTTTCTTGAAGTATGCGCAGGAGGAGAGAAATATTTGAAACAATGTACATACCTCAAGAAATTCATGTGTGTATTATTAAATAACTATTTAAATCAAATCGTCCTTGGTCAACCCACTCGCCTCAACCGCGAACACTATCAGAGTCACGAAATAAGTCGCGAATTTATAATCGCGGTTTTGTCGCACCCTAAGAGTAATCGTACGACATTCTTGATGCCACTGCGCGATCTGACAGTATTCATTATTCTCGTGTTATGACTCTTATGAATACATGACAGAATGGTTTTGCAGATATCAGAGGGTCAAAAGCATCAGATGAAGTAAGAAAACTGAGGAGCAGCGTAACTTTTTCTAATATCTCATTTTATAACTGATGCATGATGTTTTGCTCGGACGTTTCGTCGAGAAGAGAATATTATACATTCAAGGCAGCACATAGTAATTCCCATACTCTGACTTTATTCAGAGCTATCTTTAATTCTTTAGCTTTTTTACGAATTTGTGAAAAATATTTTTAAAAAACTTTTAATCACAGATTTTCTCCCATGTAATTTTCAACTTTGGCTCGGCATGTGACTGGAGTTTGATCTCAAACTAAACGTGAGCTTTTAAGGTTGATGTCTTTTTGTTCTCCTGTTAGTTTTACCGACACCTCAACAGTGAGCTCGACTGCAAAACGACTAAAAAGTTTTCTGTCCGACGGGAAACATTTTTTGCTGCTGGTGGGTAGTGGTGGCGCCACAAGTGGGCTCAGTCCACCCTAAAATATTTTGAGCGCACCCAGAAAATTTTTTTCTGGATTACATTACAAAATTGAGTGAGGCCGAGCCCAGCCTGGTCAAAATTCAGGGTGCCTGAGCCCATTCTAGTCTAAATTTCTGGCGCCGCCGCTATTGGCGGGTGGTTCAAGATACCTACTTGAACATGTACATAAATCACTTATTCGGTGTTCATGTGTTGAATAAGAACAACGATGAAACCATGCGCATCGTATATCTGACATACATCGACATGCACGTGCTTTTTTTGTTTTTTCTGGCTAGACATCCCCAAGCAAAACTAAGTAAGCGAGAAAATCTAGCTGCAGCGCCCACTTACAGCTAGATTAACTAGATTAAAAGGTACATTTATCTAGCGGCATGCTGATTGAAATTGTGTACTAGCTGAAACGGCTACTCCATGGGCCAATTAATCGAGCAATGAATTGCCCGATTAATCGACAGCAACTAGTTGTACCCAATTGAAGCTAGCTTCAATCAAGCTGAAGCTAGATAAAATTTTCATGTATTTCTGTACAGCTAGCTGAAGCTAGATAAATGTACCTTTTAATCTAGATGCAGCGACCGCTTCATGATTTTTTTTCGTGCTTGGGTCGAAGTGAATAGGATATAAATTATCAAGGAATCAAGAAACTGATGTGTTTGACGCAAGAAAATCAAGCGCATGACTTTCAAAAAAAATGTGTTTTGCTTGACGAAGAAACGTGACGCCATGAAATTCTTACTTAAGAAATTCAAGAAGGTCATATACTTGAGAAAAAAAGCTTCACTACGGTAGCAAGCATACAGAAAAGAAAAAGAAAATAAATTCAAGGACAATAAAAGAGAACTAAAACTACTTGATTGACAATAACAAAACAAATGCATTTCTGTTTTTGTTAACAATCTAAGCTGACCTCATGGCATCTACGCTTGAATAAAAAGTTTTCAAGTAAATAGTAAAGTAGCTTCAATGGATTTTTTCTGCTTCATATCTTTTTGAGAATTATAGCAGCCGAATAAAAATGGAAGCATTTTTATATATATATGATAGTGCAATCTTAATCAATCATTATCAACTCAAAAACAAAACTGGAAAAGATGTAGACTTATCTAAAACGTACAAGAAAATTCGATTGTCTGTTGACTGTTCGCGTTTGTTTTCGAATTTTTTTATTTCATTAGTCTCCGACTAAAACTCCTATCCGTCCCAAAATATAATGTCATCGGTTACTTTTGTAGTAACTCAATAATACTCATAGATAGCGACCTGCGGTTTTCAGCATCGTGTTGCTAAGACCCTAAGACACGTTTCTGTAAGCAGAAAGTTGTTTTAAAATTTACCGAAGATCCGATTTTCCAGAGGATCTTTGAAAAATCAGTTCCGTTCTCGGACAACTACCATACAAACTTAGTAATCTTTTAGCATGCATAGATAGTCCGAACGCTACTCTACAAAATTATGCAAGTCCCAGCTCTCCAGCTATCGTTGTTCGGACAGGACTCGCTTTCCCCGTGCCCGTGTCTGTCTTCGAGCAGACATCTCTGGGAATCTCTAAATGCCATGAGATATAGGTAATCGGCTACGCTAAGTATAATGGCAACATTTTTTTGGCAAGTTGTTTTGTGTAGAAGTGAAAATAGCTTCGCCAGAGGAAATTTTGTGAAAAACCGGGTTTTCGTCTGTTATCAGCAAAAATTAAAATCCGTATATCTCGGTCAAATATCATGCTGACTCAAGGAAACTTTCAGAAAACGCTCAGGACAGCTAGTTAGAAACCAAACTCGAAGACGAAAAGATTCAATTGGCATTGCTTGGACTTTCAGTTGGGCATTGCTTTAAGGTTTTCCAGAAACCTTCTGGAAAGCCTC